TAAGGGCTGTGATTTTTTCACGTGGACTTAAACTTATAGTAATTCCCCTGGTCTCTGGGTAGTGAGATCGGACGCCCGTGTGCATTACTGCGCACCGTAAAAAAAATCCCTTGGCAGTTGGAAATCGAAAAGAGTAGCCTAACGGCGCTGCCCAGGTAGAATTTGGAGTTAAAAATCTACTCAAAGTATTTTAGGATCCTCGCCGGTGCTGCAGAACCTGTACACTGTGCTGAGCTTCTTGGGACTCAGACTTGAGTTATAAGACGAACGAAGTACTTATGGGTACTACCTGTGTGCCATGATGCTGATTTATTGTTCAAAAATCTCGAAAACCTCAACATAGTTCCAGTATAAACCCTTAAAAGGGCGATTGATAAAATTAATTTGCTTATGTAACTAGACTGTATATCTAAGTTGGGAGGAAAGAATTCTAACAAATATGTATTAGTTTGCGAAGAGTTTGTAATTATAGACCGGGCATTGCGCACAGCCCGTTGTCGGGGGTAACCGTCTGCACGCGACTCTAGAACGGTTGGGGATGTTGCTGAGAACTCATTCTGGTAAAAGATGGCTCAATAACAAGACTGTTATTCTGGTGTGTGTAATTTTCTTTACAATTCATGCTTGTCATGGATTTGATAGATCAGAACATGCCGGTAAGATTACTAGTTAATCGATGGATCGTATGGCAGATGTGTCACAGCTTGATCAGGTGGGTAAATCTAATTCAGTCTTGGAACTTCTGGGTAACTCTGCCCAGCTTTGTCAGAATAACCGTTGGGGATCTTCCTGGAGTTTTACTTGGTTACTCTTACTGCTAGAGATGATTAAAAGATCTGGGTACTCTTTCTTGGATGGTTTGACTGAACTATAAGTCATCTATCGAGGGGGCCTAATAGTTTTCTGCTGTCACGTTGGGGAGTTGAAGAGGAAGGTGTGAAGGTCAGGAGGGAACCGTTAGAAATCGTAGTGATTGTTCTATCGTGTCTTCTACTATCACCTGACTGTTACTTTCCTCACTCTGAATATTAGTACATACTGATAGCCTTGCTTACAAGTGATATAAAGCATACCTATGTTTGAATTTATGATTCTATAGAGCTCATGAATCTAAGTGCTAGATTGTAACTGAGTTCCCATCTGTGCCTACTCTTGTCTATCAGTGTTGCCACTTTGAATGTTTTACATCCAGATTTAGATGTTTTTCCTTGCATTTAGATGGCGTTTTTGACGTTTAGATGGTAAATTTTTTTCTAGATATTTTCATTCAGAGTATATCAAATCTAACCTAAAAAAAACAGGATAAATTTGACCTCTTAAAGGCTATCTTGACAATAAAGTTTTGCCTGACAAGAGTAGGAAAAGGCTGTTCCACTTATCAGCTCCCTGATTGGGTATTAAAAGAAATTGGAACAGCTAAAGCATACCAAAATCATTTTGGATCTGAAGCTTCAACTTCATCATCCAAGCTAAAATTATCCTGTGGATCTTGTAATCCAGGCTTTAGTAAAGATGAGGACATGGTTCTATAGGGTAAGTCATATCAATTGCTGTGTAATTTGTGACTCTTTCTATTTGAAAGTTTTTTCTAGATGTTTTCCACGCAAATTTAGATGTTTTTAAGATATTTTTTTTGACTCCGTTTTGGATGTTTTTTGTCAAAGAAAAGTGGCAACACTGTTGTCTGTGTCTGAGCATCTATAGAGTATAGAAACATGTAGCTACAAATATTTTTGAATGTGTCTTCCTAGGAATGAGCTGTGTTGGGAAGAACTAGAATCATTAACATGAAAGTCACTCAACCAGCCATTATCAACGACATTCTCGACATTAGTGTCAACAACATCATTGCCAGTATGAAGGCACCAGTGCGAAGTCCTCAGTAGCATGGTCACAAACCGGCAGTTTCTACGATGTTATGAAATTCGTCATGTATTATCTTCGTGAGTCGATCATACCCATACTGAGGAAATTACCTCAATTCTTCAATGTGCATACTTAGGCGGTACCTGCCCTAGATAGTATCCTGTCATAATTTCGTCCTGGTCAGGATAGGCAGTATACTCAGTGATTCAATGAGTGTGATCCGGAGGGTTCAGGCAAGTTCAGTGCGAAGACAATGGCTTGAATCATTACAGAAGTCCACTGTTCGTGTAGTCACCTTTATTTTTGTTCCGGGATACGCAGGCGTCGATGGAAATGAAGGAGCTGACAGGTTGGCTGGATCCGCTATCACTACCGAAGGTCAGCCTATGGATCATGCTGATATTATCAATGCCCTCAGAGAAATGGGAAGGATAGAGGACTTTGGTGGCAGTGAATCCACATCACTCGCCAGAATGGCAGACTTGGGAATTAAGATCGGCACAGCAAAAAACGAGACGCACACCAGACACGCCAGAAGACTTGTTAATCAACATAGAACTGGTACTATTAGCCATCGGACGTTGGGGTTCATACTGAGGGGAGGATCTGAGCACCTATTGACATGTTCGGAGTGCAATGAGGATAACCCAACTAACTAACTAACTAACTAACTAACTAACTAACTAACTAACTAACTAACTAACTAACTAACTAACTAACTAACTAACTAACTAACTAACTAACTAACTAACTAACTAACTAACTAACTAACTAACTAACTAACTAACTAGGCAGTATTCGCACCAGTCGTAATGTTACCCTTTTGAGGAGAGTTGTGTAGGAATTCTTCGTTATGAACAACAGTCTATAAATTATACTGGGCTGGATGAAGAATGATTTCTCAAGGAGAGGATGAAGACAGTCCCTTTAAGTGTTAGGACTGGATGGTTCCAACGTTTACTGTCATCATCCGCAAGAGCCGTGCTGTCATCTGATGGAAGAACTGACTTTTACTTCAGGGAAGTTGGATGAACGGTTCAAGTGAATTATCTATCTTCAAGGATTGATTCATGCTTGGCCCAGACCACCGGTTCACCTGTTGACCTACATTCTGCCTTCTGCAACATTGAATGACTGGACCAGAGAACGTACCGAGACTCAAGGTCAGGTCAGGCGTTAATGTCTCCATCTGACAGTAGTCACAGACTTGTAGTTGGGGTATAGGGGTCGATTGAGGAAAGATTAGGAATAGGCATATGGAACAATGAGGATGAAGTAACTATTACTGGAAGATTCATTCTATAGATTGGAAACTTTATTCTGTAATAACTCTTAACTGTCTTTGATTATAATTCTTGAATTAATATGCACGTTTAAGGTATACACGGATACTGTGTATAAGATTATTCTTGAAGTTATCTTGAGGTGTTGCGATAGCAAAAGTATCATTCTTTTTTTTTTTAGTTGATTTTTAAGCAAACATGGGGGCAACAATAAGTGGTGAGAAAGTCAAGGTAGACTGTATAACCAGTAAGAGGAGCGGGTTATCAAATGTCTAGGTCGCCTCATCACAGTAGAGGTGTTTCTGGCTAATAAGAACTTAGAGGGATACCCTTGAGGCCAACAACCGAGCCACCAAAAACATCAGTACCTTCACTGAGTGTTGGGTCTTGTAGTATATTTACTACAGAAAGACGAGCTCATCACTGACACCTCTTATCTCTGTTACACCATTACCTGATGACAGGACAATATATATATATATATATATATATATATATATATATATATATATATATATATATATATATATATATATATATATATAATTTTTTTTTCTGTCTATTGGGATTTCTTATCTGTTGGAATATTTTATCTGTTTGCATTTCATTTTTCCTGAATTGTCTGTGTTTGGATTTCTTACCTGCTGAATATTTCATCTGCCGGTTTATTATTTTTCTTGGAATACATCATTTATAGACATACCTCGTCAGCTGAGAAATCTCATTCATCACTGAATCATTCGTGAAAATCACACAACAATGGCGTTATAAGTTCAAATGAAAGTTCAACACTGAGGTATGAATAAACAGAATTATCTTCCCTCGGCAAAAAATACTTGGCACGCTACGAACAAACAAACAAAACAACCGATAAGAGATAAGAATTATTTTCATTTTCAAAGTTGTATGAATATGGCACGCAGGCTTATGTAACATTTCGTTTTCTTATATGATTTCTTTCATAATTAATGTATTCACACATTTTGTATTACGTTAATCAAACAACAACAATTATACATGCATTAAAAAAGTATTGTCAATCGGCAAATATAATTAGTGCACGATACATTTTATGACTAACGTTTTCTAGGAATAGTTAGACACTGTAGCGAAGGCACTCTACATCCGTTTATGTAATCACTACCATTTTTCCGAGTAGAAATTGTATCACCTGACTGCATTTATATATATATATATATATATATATATATATATATATATATATATATATATATATATATATATATATATATGTGTGTGTGTGTGTGTGTGTGTGTGTGTGTGTGTACAGATATATATATATACACACACACACACACAAATATATATCTGTACAGATATCCATGTGTTAGATACGTAAATTTATGTACATGTCTTTAAAAAACTTCTTTGACTAATTAGTCATTTATACACTATTCTTTTCTTTGATATTACCAGTGGCTCTAACTTGTTATTATTCAAGCTATCATTTTCTGTAACAATCCCTTTCATTTATTTATACGATTATAGTCGTTTTATCGGACAAGCATACACTGCAGACTATTTTAATCTTTACAATCACAACTGCTTGGGCGAATTAGAAACTGTACGAATCGTTTCATGTATTTACATAATCGGTATCGTTCTGAAGAGTAAGTAGAAATTCTAGCGTGTCTTTTACACAATAAAAAAAAAAAAAAAATAGTTGCATCTGTTTTGTGAAGTAAAAACTGTATCGACTCTGTATTTTCATTGATACAATCATAATCTATTTGTAACATAAGAAGAAATTGTAGCGTATCTTTGAGTGTTTATATATTTACAATTGTTTTGTGCAGTAGAAATTCCGCCTCATTATATCTGTTTATACAATCACAACCGTTTTGTAGAGTAAGAAGAGATTGAAGCAAAGTCCCTCCAGTTATGGTTGGGGTTCTCTTTCCGGGATGTTTCAATGTCTCGGATTAGTCGATCCACGCTGAGATAGGTCCACGAACGCTGGCTTCCAGGGAAGGATGACTGCAGGACGTGCGATCCTGTTTGTGTGGTGAACAGTGGAAGTGTGGATGTGGTGGATCGTGGCAGTTCATATGTGTTGCTGTGGAAGGAAAATATAAACTATGTTCAATAACAAAAAGATTATGACAAATAATGTAGTACAGAGAAACTGAAAAAGGGCGGGGGGGGGGGGGGGGGTATTAGAAAGCGGGAAGTGGAGAGAAGGGTGGAGGGGTAGAAGGGTGGAGGGGTAGAAGGGTGGAGGGGTAGAAGAGTGGAGGGTGAAATAAAATCGAATAGGTATTTTATTAAGTTTGACTTTAATCTCCACAAAGAAGAAAGTGTGTAATGTTCCATTCATATTTTTTTTTAAACTGGTCTACTTTCATGAGAGTTACGGGTGTGTCGTTCTGTAGTTTGCTTTCTGGCTTATCTTGCATTTACTTTTTTTTCATGAGAAAGAGAATGCCTGTGACATAGGTTGCAGCACCCTCTGGGTGGGTTGTGTGTTAGACCCAGTTTCTGCATGTTTTTTTAGTGTTAAAAGCGCTGGCATGCTGAAATAAAGCACATGCGAAATCAACGGCATTGGCGAACACCCCCGTAACCTTGTGCCAAGGTCGGGTGACTTAAGGTCGACCAGTCAGAAGTGAGCTAGTGTGTATATGGGCAGTCTCTGGGGGGACTATCGTGGAACTAACCGGCACTCTCAGTCCTCTTACAAGTTTTGATGGGATCTCTCAAATGAATTAAGCCATTAACAGAAGTGACTTATTAATTTGCAAACTGTTGTTTCTTCGCCTCTCAGGCAGATGCACTCCAAGTTAAAAGTAAACACCCCTGATTAGTCGCCTTGTAAGACATGCTTGCTAGAGTAATGGATCTATAATGGCGCTCGGGAACGATGACAAAGCTTAATGGACAGACCAATACAGCTTTAAGCTTTACAATCGGATCAAAACCCGTCCCAATATGAGAGGCACGTATTTTTTTGTTATGTTGAAGCCTCACCCCGGCTAAAGTCTGGGGCCTTAATATAACCTGATGATTGAACGAGGTTTCTGAGACTTATGCCCGGGTGATTCTTTGTGTCACCGGGTGTTTGTCAGTCGTTGTGATGCCCTGGTGGGGTTGAACTTCGTTGACCTTTCTAGTCACACGGTCTATTATCTCTAGCAGTAACTGTGATATTAGCTCAGCTGCACTCATTTCTAACCAACATTATCATTTTGAGAAGGGCTTTTCTTTTCTTCTTGGCAACCTACCTAGTGCCAATTGGTTTATAAAATACAGGTCTAGCCCTATATGCCCTTAACGCCAGAAGGCTTGGACAGGGGCCCTTGACTTTACTAACCCACATGGGAGTCCCTTCACATGAAGCCTCCTTCTATGGAAGCCACCGTGGTATAGCAGCTAGTTGCTCGCCTATGCATTCGAAGCTGGAGGGTTCAAACCCGAACGGACCTGGACAGTTTTTTTTATTAAATGACCTTGGCTCCCAGGTCGACCTAGCCTTAAATGGGTATCACGTAAAGTCCGGGAAAGTAAAGGAGTGACGATTGGTTCATAAAATCTAGGTCTAGCACTAATACATCAGCCAATAACCTTGAAGGTTGGAAAAGGGCCGCCATTTACGTACCCACCTGTACGCAGTACTGGCACCATTTTTTGGCAATAATTTTTTTCCTAACGCAGCTGTAGTAAACACTTAATTGTGAATTCCGGCATCTATTTTTTAGTCATTCTGCTTTTTTTATCTGCGTTGGCCCTAAAAGAGGACGGTTAGCACGCTATGGTGTGGTTTGCAGTTAGGCTGCGATATTTATACCTTTCGATCCAACATATTCGATTTCAGAAAAGTCCCAGCTAGTCGTCTTTTAAGAAAAACTTGTCAGGGAGCAATGGGTCTGCACCCGTGCCAAGCCCCCCCCCCCCCCATGCCCCACCCCGCCTCCGCCTCAAAACCCAAACAAAATAGGGCCCCAGATCCAACACGAGGATAATAAATAAAACACGTTTTAAAAGTTGTGCATTTAAACTTGAACAAATATTTCGAAAACTGTGCGAATTACTATAAATATTTGTATGTGGTATTAGATTTCCCACGGCCTTGTGATTTTATAATTTTCAATTGCACAGGTGTTGATGTTTTCCTTAAGCGGTAAATTTCTTTGATCTTTGAAAAATAATTTGTGTACCCCTAATTGATAGAACACACAGAAACCGACAACTCACAGATCCCTTTTCCGCAAATCGCCTATGAACTGAGTTACTATTCTTTAAACAGGATTATGATAGTATATGACGCAAACACATCCCTATTTAGAATAATTCCACCTTGATTTTTGACACGGATTCCATCTAAAACACTTGCAAATGAATAATGTGCAAAGCTTGCGTCACTCTATAGCTAATTATATTTTTAATTTGACCTCTTAAAAAAAAAAAAAAAAAAAAAAAAAAAAACACTTATCCGCAAATAATGCAAATTAAATCCTAGATGTTTGTTCACATTAAAAATGATTAATAATAGAATGCATTCAACAGTTTACACCAAACGGTTACTGCGCTACAGATTTGTAAAGTTGGGCACGATTTTCGGAACGCACTCTAGAGTTTTGACACCCGTGTTCTCACCTGCTAGGTTTTGAACGGCACGTACAACACTTGTACAATAGAAGAGCCAACAGGAATATGACTATCACTGCCAGCATGCAGGACGTGATGATAACAACCGTGTCGTAGGGGCCAAGGGCAGGTTGGGCACTGTTCGGTTGTGTGTTATTGTAAGCAGGGGTTGCTGGAAAGAGAGTATTTTGTTATATATCAACATCATCATCATCATGATGACTGTCATCATCATCATCATTATCATCATCACTGTGATCATTGTAGCATCATCATGTGCCGTGACAATTAGCCTAAGTTGTCATGGTTTGATGTAAGTGGGTGCGTGCCTGTGTGTGTGTGTGTGTGTGTGTGTGTGTGTGTGTGTGTTTGTGTGAGGTAATCTCTCAATGATATTTCTAACTTCATAGCAAACAGATCAACCCATTGTTGCTCCCTTCTTGTGCCAACGAAAATCATGCAGAATGTTCATCGCTTTTCTATGTCAAGCAAGGGGGCTGTGTGCTCTCGAGGCATGGTGTCCGCCTCAAGTGCTAGAGGTTTCGGGCTCAATCCCTGGTAAAAACTGGGATTTTTTTCACGTGAACTAGGAGGTCTAGTTATTCCCCCCCCCCCCCCCCCCCCCCCCCCCCCGATCTCTGGGTAGTGAGATCGGCACGCCCGTGTTTATTCTTGTGCACGTAAACGAATCCCTTGGCAGTTGTAAATCGAAAAAAAGTAGCCTAACAGCGCTGCCCGGGGAAATTTAAAGTTGAAAAAAAAAATTATTTCAGGATCCTCACCGGTGCTACAGAGAATATGCACTGTGCTGAGCTTCTTCGGACTCAGACTTGAGTTAGAAGCAGAACAGAGCCCTTCCAAATCTATGTGAAGCAAACTGACACAGACTGCAGTCTCAGCAATGACAATAGCATACACACGTATTTTATGGACAAAGCAACCGTTGAAACTGCCAACACACACAGTCTGACACTAGAAATGCCATTCATCGTCGATGGAAGTAGCAGTTGCAATAGATTAATAGTTGCACACGCAATGAATGTAATGCAATGTAATGTAATGTTAGTTTCAGCTTCATAGCGAACGGGTCACCACATAGTTGCCCCGCTTCTGTGCCAACGAAAAACACAAAGAATGTTTATCCCAGTCCCTTGTGAAGAGATTGACAGACTGCTGTCTCAGCATATGCACTACTATACACAAGCATTAAAAGCATACGGTAGCCATCAGAAGTGCTAACGCAAACAGTCCGACATTGGAAATACAGTTCATCATCGACTGTAGCAGAGGTAACCAACAAATCAGCAGTTGCACTATTTTAATCACACAAGGGCACCACCAATATTGTGACGATAGACAATGAATGGCATAAGGCACTGTCAGTTCTCTGGTAACAAGCCAGTTGCTATTTTCTGAATGCAGCTCACAACACAAACCATGCTGGACCCAATCGAAAAGCATTCCAAATGAAATCTGCAGCTCACAGTTTTACTCTATGCACTCAACTCAGTATCTGGTCAACCAAACTATATTCTTTCAGTCTACGTCTAAGGAAACATGCAACGGTTAATTTTTTTGTTGAGCGAATATTTGCCACAACTAAAAAAAAAAAAAAAAAAAAAAAATAGAAGTCAACCGCCTATCCGCCCCACTGACCAGCAGTGTGTTTGTGCCCGTGTCTGTACCTGCGTGCGCATGTAAAGCACCCTTTTCGTGTCACGGGTGAATCTAGAATATGTTATGAGACCCACATGTTCATATACTTAACCAAAACAACATCAGCCTCCATTACATTTGAAAACTTAATTCATTCTGAGACAGCAATCGAATACCAAGTCATTCGAGTTCCAAGGTATTTTATCCTAACGAAAATAAGGGAAACTTAATCGGTACCATACTACTTTCATGCTGATTATCGTTCTGGTAGTTTTTTTCATACTTTGTTTTTTTAACACTACACTTTTTACCAACCATAACTAATTCAATAAGTGCTTTACAGGCAAATTCCCTAAAATGACGACTCGAGATGCAACGCCTTCAACACAGCGTAGGAAAACAATCTGAAGCGTAGTCGATGCTGTGTGGTAGAGTGAGTATCTGGATGTGTCATGCATTCTGTTTCCAAGGCAGCATTCAAGTTTCGAGGTACAATTTACTTGAAAATTTCGTTCGGATTGTAATTTTTCTATTTTTGTAGGATTCGAATTTCGAGGCACAAATATGTTTGTCTTAGAATTCGTCGATCTGATTATTTAAAAAAAAAAAAAACAGAGCCAAACTTTTTTTTTTCTTTAAAAAATGACGTTGGCTTCAGGGTCGACCCAGCCTTGAGTGGGTACCAGGTACAGTCCTGGTAAGTAAAGGTGGCCGTTGTGATGCTGACCAAATCACCCACCAAGCGTTGATTGGTCTATAAGATTAAAGGTCTAGCGCTATATGCCCCATACGCCTGAATGCGGGGGAAAGAATCCTTTACCTTACTTATGTTTGAAAATCCGACTCGTTGGAATTTTTAAAAAAGGCAGGAGATGAATAGATTGTCTTGATGATTATGATGATGGTGATGTTAATAATATTAATAATTTTGTTGATAATAGAAATGTTCATAATAATGACGATGCCGGCTTTGATAATGATGACAATAATTACTGGTGATGATGAGGAGGAGGAGGATAACGACGATGATTATGGTAGTGATAATTATTATTATTATTATTACTGTACTGGTGGCGGTAGTGATAACAATGACGCTGATACAAATGTGGATGAAGCTGATAATGATGATAACGATGATGATAATATTAATGATGATTAAGAGGAGGAGGAGAAGAAGGAAAATTACGATGATGAAAGTAGTAAAGAAAATGACGATAATGAGAAGACGATCACGATGATGATGATGATGATGAGGATGATGATGATGATGGTGGTGACGGTGGTGGTGGTGGTGGGGATTATGATGGTGGTTATGATGATGGTAGTGGTGGTTATGATGGTCGTAGTGATGATCATGGTGATGATAATAGTGGTGGTGGTGGCAATGATGATGATGGTGGCGGTTGTGGTGATGGTGGAGGTGATGGTGGTGATAACGATGATGATGATGGCAGTGGTGGTGGCAATGATGATGATAGTGGCGGTGGTGGTGATGGTGGTTTTGGTGGAGGTGATGGTGGAGGTGATAGTGGTTTTGGTGGAGGTGATGGTGGAGGTGATGGTGGAGGTGATGGTGGTTTTGGTGGAGGTGATGGTGGAGGTGATGGTGGAGGTGATGGTGGAGGTGATGGTGGAGGTGATGGTGAAGGTGATGGTGGAGGTGATGGTGGAGGTGATAGTGGTTTTGGTGGAGGTGACGGTGGAGGTGATGGTGGAGGTGATAGTGGAGGTGATGGTGAAGGTGATGGTGGAGGTGATGGTGGAGGTGATGGTGGAGGTGATGGTGGAGGTGATGGTGGAGGTGATGGTGAAGGAGATGGTGGAGGTGATGGTGGAGGTGATGGTGAAGGTGATGGTGGAGGTGATGGTGGAGGTGATGGTGGTTTTGGTGGAGGTGATGGTAGTTTTGGTGGAGGTGATGGTGGTTTTAGTGGAGGTGGTGGTGGAGGTGATGGTGGTGATGGTGGAGGTCATGGTGGTGATAATGATGATGATGGCAATGGTGGTACAGATGATGATGATAATACAAGTGGTGATATCATATGCGGGATGACAACATGCAGTTGATGACAACGAAAGACCAAATCAAGTCTGCCCATCCATCTCTTACTTGGGGTCACGCTTGGCTTGGGCACGCAGTCTGGATCGGGGGGTGCTGGCTGCCACGACCCGTTGACACATGTGACCTAAAAGTTCAAGGTGACAAAAGTGCATCTGGTTAATGGGTGCGTGTGGATAGTGCATCTGGTTAATGGGTGCGTGTGGATAGTGCGTCTGGTTAATGGGTGCGTGTGGATAGTGCATCTGGTTAATGGGTGCGTGTGGATAGTGCGTCTGGTTAATGGGTGCGTGTGGATAGTGCGTCTGGTTGATGGGTGCGTGTGGATAGTGCATCTGGTTAATGGGTGCGTGTGGATAGTGCGTCTGGTTAATGGGTGCTTGTGGATAGTGCATCTGGTTAATGGGTGCGTGTGGATGGTACGTCTGGTTAATGGGTGCATAGGGATAGTGCGTTTGGTTAATGGGTGCGTGTGGATAGTGCGTCTGGTTAATGGGTGCGTGTGGATAGTGAGTCTGGTGTTTGTGTGGAATTTAATAACACCTAATTCGTCTCCAAGAGCTGCCGCAGTCTTCTTATTGGTATGCTTTATTAAAGATACCCATGAAGAGGTTTATTGTGTTATTAAGAATTGACATTAAAGCACTCAGACCATACCCATGCGCTCCGTCCCCATCTTCAGCAGCAAGTACATAGTTCCAATTCCGATGGTACCAGTAACTGTCTGACTGTATATCTGCCTCACCTTTTCCTTGAGTGATGATCGTCAACCAGATACCCTGGTTACTCCTCGCAGGACCATTCTCCTCAGACCATGATGATGCATCTGTGCCTCCGTACTGTTCACTCGCCCCCAAAGAGACGTTACAACATCTAGCTTGTCGTGCATAATTTCACCCCCAAGATGTGGCAAAGCAGCCATTCTATCTGCCTGTTTCTTTCCTAACAAACAGGTATGGATAGGTTTTGACCTGTATCAAAACTGATTCCGATGCACCACCATGTGTGATAAGCACCTCTGCATCTTGATCCAGATTCATTCAATTGGCTGCAGTTTTTTCAGACATCTCAACTCCTGTGTAATTGGTTTACGTATGCGATGCTTTGATAATGTCCACGCTTGGCACACGTAGCATCTGTCGGTCAACGTACGTCAGTTAACGCAAAGGAACCATTTCCTACGGCTTCGAGCATATGGGGGATATCGGACTGGACGTATATTTTATAGACTGCACTCGGTGGATGATGTAGTCAGCATCACGCCCATCGCCTTTGCTTCCCTTGACTTTATCTGCTACCCATTTAAGGCTGGGTCGACCTGGGAGCCAAGGTTATTTTTTTCTTGAAAGAAAGTCTTGCTCTGTTTGGTTTTGAACCCACAACCTCCCCGTGTGGGTTCCGGGGCCCCATCGTGGGGAAAACAAGAATAGACCCTCTGCCTCCCCAAAAGCATGTCGTAAGAGTCGACTAATTGGGGAGCTTCCTTTGAAGTCGGAGGGCATCTGCCTGAGAGGCAAGGAACCAACAGTCTGCATTCAAGTGAATCAGATCTGTAAAACTGATGCACACGCAACACTCAGGTTCTGAAGCAGGACTGCAGTTCAGAAGTGGACGAACAACCAGAACTTTCACCAGAGTGTACAGCTGGTGAACGCGAAGAAGAACCCACGACCTTTTAATTCGTAGGCGAGCGTCTAGCGGCTGCGCCACGGGGAGCTCCCACTCATTTAACTCTTTGAGTCCCAAGGAACACATCATACATTCATAGGTTCCTACCTAGAAGCCCGATGAACGCATGATGCGCCGATTTTATGACTGTATTTACTACCCCCTGGGCCTGTGATGCTTAAGACCCTGGGACTCAAAGAGTTAATAGCTTGAACAATGTTTCTCCACTTACCCGTGAGTTTCCCTGTACCTGGTACGAGGGCGTATAGCACGAGATGACTACCACAGTGCCATTACTCGTGTCGTAGTTGCTTAGTTTAAGCGTGGCAATATTTCCCTCTGTTAATATGGTGAGTTTTGTGGCCAATGCTTTACATGAACCTGAGAACGCACAAGTTTATCACATGTATCTTGTTTTGTTGATGATGTAATTAGACAAAATCATCATCATTTTATTTATATCAGTTCAGTCACCACTACAGCAGCACAAATCCGCCACGGTAATCATCATTGTTCACCCTGCAACTATTCGGATGAGACTACAACGGAACCAAATCCAGAAACTCACAAATCCGCCACGGTAATCATCATTGTTCACCCTGCAACTATTCGGATGAGACTACAACGGAACCAAATCCAGAAACTCACTTCAAACGTACAAAACGGTTAACACAAATATTAGCACTTTACGGTTACAAAGCATTGCTTTTCTGATCCGGTATCTTCTTCGGGATTTTTTGTTTGAAATGTAACGAAGTTGCTTTTCCTTTGCTGAAGCAAGCCAGGACGAGAGAGGAATCATACTGTAACCAGCGAAGGTGCTTCACCATTAACCTTAATTTGTCATGAAATCAAATCGAAAAGCAGCAGTTATAGAGATATGGGTGTTAAGTTGACCTCAGTTGGCGTAGACTGGGGCGCCACGGGCTGCCTCTAACGGATTGTCATCGAGGTGATCTTGCTAGTCTTTTTCACTACAGTCTGTGTTTCCCCATGTGTCCCTACAGCACATTATAATACAATAGACTGCAAAGACTTGAAGGCGCCAACAGTCAACATCGTTAGAAGCACAACCACCACTATCATCCGCATCAATATCATTATCAACACAGTCGCCCTTTATTCTTTGCATTTATTACTAAAACTATTTCTATCCTTAACAGTTATTACTTATATAATTTTATTTGACACAGTTATTACTTCACTTATTTCTTTCCTTCTTAGTTTCTTTCTCTATTTTTTCTTTCTTTCTTTCTTCCTTTTTTTTTCTCTTTTTTTTTCTGCTCCTACTTCTTCTTCCCCTTGTTCTCATACTGGTTCTCTTTCTCCTCCTCCCCCATCGTCTTCTTCTTCTTTTCCTCCCATTCACCTCGTCTTTCTTCTTCTTCTTCTCCTCCTCCTTATTCTTGTCCTCCACCCCCTTCTTCTTCCTTCTTTTTTAACTACCAAACCGCCATTACTGACTCTATTTACCACTTTCGTAGAAGCCTAGTAAATGGCCCAGGATCATTGCCTATTGTATTGTATATCTGTGCGGGTTCCGAGGCCTAATTGTGGGGTAAAACAAGAATAGATCTACTGCTCTCCCAGCAAGCATGTCGTAGGAGCCGACTAACTGAGGAATTTCTTCGAAGTCAGAGTGCATCTGCCTGAGCGGCAAGGAACAACCAACTGCATACAAATAAGTGAGTAAAACTGATGTACACACAAAACTCAGGCCCTGGCCCAAAGCCAAAGTTCAAATTGACGAACAACCAGGACTTTCTGCCGGAGCTTACAGCTGGTGAACAAAGAAGAAGAGAAGAAGTATTCATGATCTTTCTGCTTTGGAGCTCAGGTGTCTGGTCCATGACAATCGTAATTGTCAACATCTTGGTCCCTGAGCAAATTTAACTTGATAGCCTCGATAGTACGCTAAGTCTGCACCTGTCCGCTGTATCAGTTATATCACAAATTATGAACAATAAAATGTCGACTTACCGGTTTGTGTGTTCATTGTTCTTCTGGATTCTGTGGTTATTGTAATTAATTTTACTGACTGGGTTCAACATGTATCCTTTCTCTCCCTTTGGTCTTCTCGTGTATTTATTGTTGTAATCTTCTTCTTTGGTATTATTATTATATCCATCAGATCAAATAGCTACTTCTGAAAGTAAACATTTGTATATTAATGAAAAATGTGTGACACGGATTTGTGATCTAGCAGCTGCAGCAACAGCAGCAGCAGCAGTAGCAGCAAAAGCAGTAGTATTATAGTATCAGTAGTGAAGAAGTGGTTGTTGTAGGGATGGTGATGGTAGTAGTAGTTGTTGTCGTTACAGTTGTTGTGACAGCTGTAGTAGTTGTGGTTGTGGTGTTCTTGTTGCAGTATTATTAGTAATAGTTATGTAGCAGCAGCAGTAATAGTAGTAGTAGTAATTGTAGTAGTAGTAGTATTTGTAATACTACTACTAGAAGTAGTAGTAGTAGTAGTAGTAGTAGGAGTGGTGATGGTGGTAGTAGTAGTAGTAGTAGTAATTGTAGTAGTAGTAATTGTTGTAGTAGTAGTAGTAGGAGTGGTGGTGGTGGTGGTAGTAGCATTGTATCAGTAGTAAAATAGGTGTTGTCGTGTGATAGTGGTGGTGGTAGTAGTTGTAGTAGGAGTGGTGGTGGAGGTGGTAGTAGTTATTGTAGTCGTAGGAGTGTTGATTGTGGTAGTAGTTGTAGTAGTAGTAGGAGTGGTGGTTATAGTGGTAGTGGTATTGTATCAGTAGTGAAATAGGTGTTGAGGTGTAATGTTGGTGGTGGTAGTAGTTGTAATAGTAGTAGTAGTGGTGGTGGTGGTAGTAGTTGTATTAGTAGTAGGAGTGGTGGTGGTAGTGGTGGTAGTTGTAGTAGTAGTAGTAGTAGTAGTAGTAGTAGTAGTAGTAGTAGTAGTAGTAGTAGTAGTAGTAGTAGTAGTAGTAGTAGTAGTAGTGGTGGTGGTGATAGTAGTAGTAGTAGTAGTAGTAGTAGTAGTAGTAGTAGTAGTAGTAGTAGTAGTAGTAGTAGTAGTAGTAGTAGTAGTAGTAGTAGTAGTAGGAGTAGTAGGAGTAGTGGTGGTGGTAGTAGTAGTAGTAGTAGTAGTAGTAGTAGTAGTAGTAGTAGTAGTAGTAGTAGTAGTAGTAGTATTGTATCAATAGTGAAATAGGTGTTGTCGTGTGATAGTGGTGGTGTTAGTAGTTGTAGTAGGAGTGGTGGTGATGGTGGTAGTAGTATTGTATCAGTAGTGAAATAGGTGTTAAGGTGTAATGGTGGTGGTGGTAGTAGTTGTAGTAGTAGTAGGAGTGGTGGTGGTGGTGATTGTAGTAGTTGTAGTAGTAGGAGTGGTGGTGGTGTGGTAGTAGTAATAGGAGTAGTGGTGGTGGTGGTGGTGGTAGTGGTAGTAGTAGTAGAAGTGGTGGTGGTGGTGGTAGCAGTTGTAGTAGTAGGAGTGTTGGTGGTGGTGGTAGTAGTTGTTGTAGTAGTAGGAGTGGTGATTGTGGTAGTAGTTGTAGTAGTAGTAGGAGTGTTGGTAATGGTGGTAGTAGTATTGTATCAGTAGTGAAATGGGTGTTGAGGTGTAATGGTGGTGGTAGTAGTTGTAGTAGTAGTAGAAGTGTTTGTGGTGGTGGTAGCAGTAGTATTAGTAGTAGGAGTGGTGGTGGTGGTGGTAGTAATATTGTAGAAGTAGTGAAATAGGTGTTGTCCTGTGATAGTGGTGGTTGTAGTAGTTGTAGCAGGAGTGGTGGTGGAGGTGGTAGTAGTTGTTGTAGTAGTAGAAGTGGTGATTGTGGTAATAGTTGTAGTAGTAGTAGGAGTGGTGATGATGGTGGTAGTAATATTGTATCAGTAGTCAAATAGGTGATGAGGTGTAATGGTGGTGGTAGTAGTTGTAGTAGTAGTAGGAGTGGTGGTGGTGGTAGTAGTTGTAGTAGTAGTAGGAGTGGTGGTGGTAGTAGTATTGTATGAGTAGTGAAATAGGTGTTGTCGTGTAATGGTGGTAGTGGTAGTAGTAACAGTAACAGTACAGTTATAACAGCAGTAGCAGTCCCATTAAAAACTGTCTAGACCAGTGGCTCTCAGCCTTCCTAATGCCTCAACCCGTTAATACAGTTTCTCATGTAGTGACGACACCCAAACTTTATTTTCGTTACTACTTTATAACTTCAATAAATATATGTTTTCGGATAGTTTCATACGACCCTTGTTAAAGGGTCGTTTGGCCCCAAAAAGAATCGCGACCCACAGGTTGAGAACCACTGATATAGATTTTTTTTTAAAAAAAAGGGGGGGGGGGGGAGGGGCCAAAGGCCTCAGGCAACATTCATGCATCCGGAACATACAAAGGAGTTCTACTAAAGACAGAAAGCATAGGAGCATGTCCCAAGGGTAACAAATATCATATTTATTACTCATGAACTGATACAAACATGCACATATATACGCCCATTATGACAACCTCTATGGTTAATTACAGATAGTCAAAAGATGTCGAGGCCGACCTCTTCTTCAACGATATAAAGACGTGGGCAAGCAGGACATGAAGGATTTAGGTACTGAGGTGGACTCGTGGGAACAACATTTCATGGACGGTGTTAAGTGGGTACACCAGTTTTGGAATGAGAATGAAGGAAAGAAATTATTCCAGAAATGATGAGAGCTGAGTGTCTAAGAAGAAACAAACTAAACACAAATGTGGACAACAATGGCCCTCAAAACCAATGCTATAATTGTGGAAAACTTTTCTTAACGCGAGCGGGTCTTGCTCGTCACACTTCCCGTCGCCACGACTGTGAGTCCCGTGACTCCTTATGGCGTAATAAAACACTATTGCCTGGAAAGACGAAAAGGCGCCAATCAATCACACATATCTACACACACAGACAATACACAATGAACTTGGACAATGAAAACCACTGAACTTTCTGGGGTACATAAAAGTATCACTTACTTCGAAACATAACTCCGAGAAAAACAACTTTTCTGTTGAATACAGTGTTCTGGGCATGTAGCGAGTAACTTAACTGATCAAGTATTCGTGAGTTATTTTTTGGTTTGTGTTTTTCTTTTGGTCCGGACTGGGAGCTGGGTAAACTGTATTTAAAGGATTTGCATTTTAAAACTTCGATTTATTTGCAGTGATTAAACCAGGCTAGTATTCGGTGTGCGGGAATATTCAACACAATTCAGGAATCGATTTTACTTCTCTTCCTGCTAACGCCCATCTTGTGGAGTGATTTGATTGTTTCTCAACTGATAGTTGTGAACATTCTCGTGTATATGGTGTGCTGGGTTTTGTAGTGACCAAAATAACGCGGAGGGATAGAGACAAGTAAACAATGAAAAGTGAAGATTATTTTTATTATTTTTAAAATAGGAAAGACAAGATTAAAATCACTTTGAGTCTTTAAAGACCAAACAACTCCCCCCCCCCTTTTTTTTTCCCACCCCTTTATGTATATTATAAGGTTAGTTGCGTATCCTTTCCAGGACGTTGCAGAACCAACCCCAACAGTTCCTGGCTGTTGTGTGGGTTTTTCTAGGCAAATTTACGTCCTGTGGCGACCTTAAACGCACAATCCTATTTGTGACCCAGACGGGACTCAATGTTTAGCATGACTGATGTCGAACGCAGAAGAAGAAGAAAAACGTCCTGTGGTTTGCAATTGCTCCCTGGACGGTCGGCTTTCTTGATACCACTGTCGAAAAAAACGCAAGGCGCATGGCCTGCAGCTGGGATCGAACCCGGCATCCGGCACTACTAAGCATTCGCATCGACTCTATATATTATACTATATATAATATAGTAAAACGTAGTTAAAACGAATTTCAAAAGATAAAATATGGATTTCAAAAGATATATATATATATATATATAATAGCATGCTAGTAAGTAGTTTGTTTTTTAAAACTCTTCTGCGGCAACTGTGAGCCACCGTGATTTAACCGTTAGACGCTCGCCTGTAGATCCGAAGGTCGTGGGTTCGAGTCCGAGCGGAACTATAGTTTTAAACAAAATGGCTAAGGCTCCCAGGTCGACCTAGATTGACACAGGTACAAGTTACAGTCCTGGATGTAAAGACGGCCGGTGAGATGTTGGCAACATCAGCCACTGGCTGCGATTGGTCAATAAAATATGGGTCAAGGACTAGTTCCCTAATACTACCAAAGGCTTCGAAAAGGAGGTCTTTTCAAACCGTTGCCGTATCGGCCACATTACGCTAGATCCAGACATAGAGCAGCCAGGTCTCGATGTTTGATGTGGTCAACTTCACATCTGTCGCCTTTACGTCCCGTGACTTTCTTTGACACCCAGTTTAGTTTAGGTAGCTCTTGTTCTCGATTTGGATTCGAATCCAAGATCCTCGGGTGGCAGGCAATGTCTAACCACTCTGCTACCATAGTTTACTGTATAGGTATCTTATACATTTGGTGGTTTGAATTTATATTTTTAAACACAATTTTTATTCAAACGAATTATAAAAATTGAACATAGAACATACAAATTACATCTATGTACATATAGTTAATGTATATTATGTAAAAAATACGTAATGTGATCTGGGTTGTATGTGAAAAATACGTAATATGTTCTGTGTTGTATGTGAAAAATACGTAATATGTTCTGTGTTGTATGTGACAAATACGTAATGTGTTCTGTGTTGTATGTGAAAAATACGTAATGTGTTCTGTGTTGTATGTGAAAAATAGGTAATGTGTTCTGTGTTGTATGTGAAAAATACGTAATGTGTTCTGTGTTGTATGTGAAAAATACGTAATGTGTTCTGTGTTGAATGTGAAAAATAGGTAATGTGTTCTGTGTTGTATGTGAAAAATACGTAATGTCTTCTGTGTTGTATGTGAAAAAATACTTAATGTATTCTGGGTTGTATGTGAAAAATACTTAATGTATTCTGGGTTGTATCAGTTTCGGGAAGTCTTTGACTGCCTAAAGTTATCTTTGTTTATTTACTTTATGTGTGTGACCGTAAGTGA